CATACTCAGGGAGCACTCAGGTTTCTGAGCCTGGAAGAGGGAAGGCCCTCCTGACTCTGGAATGTGGAGAGTTCCCCTTGGTAAAGAACACAACCACTGAGCCTTGTTTCCTATGTGATAAGCACATATGCTTCTAGCTACTGTGATTTTACCATTTTTAGGCAAAGATAGAACGCTTGATTCATAATGTAAGATACAGTGCTCACTGTGCATGGCCCAGTCAACACTAACATTTAGGCTCCTCGAACAAAAATGTGGCGTTGTTTCCCTCATATGCAGCCTTTTAAAAGTTCTCCACTCACTACAAAATAAACAATGCCTTAAAATTTCAACCTAATTAAAATCCCAGTGTGGATGCGTTTATTAGGCCTGCGAACGAAGAAGGGCAGGGAGGAAGGCAAATGAATGATGGCAGTCCCACACTCAGCCCCTCCTATTCCCCTCCAAGCAAGAGGCAAGATGAGATGGGCGCCAAGAGATGAGAAGAATTTCCATCCTGTTTGGATTCCGCAGAGATGCTTTTGGAGGATTCTTACCGAGAACACAGAGCGGTAGAGAAAGCACAATTGCCTATTTGCTTCTGTTGTGGATACACGTTTATAAACCCTCAGAGCCGTGTCCCAGGAATGCAGGATTTCCAGTGTGAAGCAAGCAGAGGCAGGGGCTTTTAAAATGGACCAGCAGGGATCCTGTCTAGTGATGAAGGCTGCGGTTTCCACGGCAATCGCAAGCACAACTCAGATTCACCGCACACCTTGTCTCTCTGCTCCTTTTGTTCAGAGCAAGCTACCGTCACACGGCCAAGGGCACTGTGAGCAAGGCAGAGGTGTTTCCGTGAACTGGATGCCATCAGTCTGGGCTCAGTGTACAGATCTTTTGTGCCGTAATGAATCTGCCACTTCCCGGGTGCCTGTTAGCATAACAAGGAGGGAGCTTGGAAAAAAAATACTGGTCCAAAAATGCTTGGCTCTCACCTGGGCCAGATTTTTCTAAGAAAGAGTCTGAGTGTTGAATTCTCAAATCTAGTGAGTCCCAAACTCTAGTATGCCTTGGACTCCCGAAAATCCGCAAAATGCAAATCCCAGGTCTGGCCCTTGGGGAATTTGGTTTAGTAGGTCTGAGAGTGGGCCCACGACTCAGGATTTTTAATAGGTACCCTAGCTGATTCAGATACAGATGGTCCCGAGACCACACTGAGAAGCCCTGTTTTGGATATTCGAGGACACTCTCCCCTTCGTGGAAGATCAAGATTTTAAAGAGAAGCGTTCACTCTCAGAGGATTTCCTCCATGAGGAATCTGCTTTGGATCTATTCAGGCCATGTGGCTTTTGGTCAGGTGGCAGAGTGGTTTTAGAATAGGCCTGGGCTTTAGATGGCTTGCTTTGGGGGCTTGGTTCATTATAATTCCGTTGCAGGGCTCCCTCAGAGTAGCGTCCAGCTACCCTGCTTTGTCATCTAGGGAGAAGACCAGGAACCACTCTCCTGGAGCACCTGGCGGGGGGGGGGGGGTTCCGAGAACAAGCAGGGGGAGCGGTTACTTCCAAGTTCAAGGCAAAGAGATGAGGTTGGAATCACCTTCTGCCTTTCTCATAAGGGTCAGTGTGGGCTTCAGCTTCAGAGAGGAAGTAGGTGTCCCTTTGATTTCCTATTCTTGCCAATGTGAGGCCCCCACACCTTGGAGATGTCTTGTCGCACCCTCTTCCATCAACCAGTTCTTCCAGCCTCTAGGTTTTAGATGTGCTAAGTTCGTCTCTCCCTGCCCCCTTTTTTCTTCCATTTCTGGGTTGCTCTAGATGCTTCTTTTAACCATATTCTGTTTGTTAAATAGATACAGAGTCCCCACAAGCACCTGCCTCCGATGGCCTTGGAAAAGAATTTGGCACATCCTAGAAAGCTTCCCGCAGAGCCAGCACTTAAGGTGGACGGGAGTCACACACAGTGGCTCAAGTTGAAATTCAGAACATCTTAAGTAAAACTTTGCAGGAGGCTGCTCCCCCTGCCCCAACCCCACCGTCCTCTGGTGCAGAAATAACTCCAGTGTGCATGGGCCAAAGCGCCGCAGGTGGTACTTAAGATTTTATTCAAATGCAGTTTCTCTTTGAAGGAGAACAAAGTAGATCTGAATAAAAGTCCTATTTTTGGAAAGGAGAAGTAAGTGATGCACCGGGAGATGTTCGCAATGTGAAAACCCTTTCCTAAGGCCTCATCCTCGTCGACCTCATCCTCGTCGACTTCACTTTCCTTACAGCAGGTGGCTCAGGAGGGGCCCCAACCACACAGAGGAGCTGGTGACCAGAGCTGACACTCTGTGGCTTTTCCCATTTTCACAGAATGGGAAGAAAAGGACACGTTTCCAACGGGAGGAAAATTAGAAATAAAGTAACGTATAGGCAATTGTCGACCATAGCTTTTTTCTTTTTTAAGAATCCCTGTTCACTGTTGCAAGCTAGAAGCTCCCTCGCATGGACCGCAGGGCTGGCTTTATAAACGGCTCTGAGCACAGAAATGCTGGGATATTATCCTTGTCAACTGAACTACAGGGAGTTCTTTTACGAAGAAAGTGGCAGGGGAAGGAATCCGTAAAATGCAGTGGTTAAGCCTGTAGGTTTTGGAACCAGGCCGCCCGAGTGCTGATCCACACTCCCCAAGTACTCGACACGCTCCTCATCTGCGAAATGGGAACGGTGAGTGCTAGGTCACATGGTTACGGTGAGACGGAGACTGGGAGTGCACGGTGAGCCTTTAGTGGAGGGCTGGTGCTCAGTACAAGTTCGCGATGCTAAACGTGGAGAAAACGCTGCCTTTGATATCACTCCATGGACTAGCTTGGATTTATTTGGAAGATCAGGGAAACCATGTGATCACCCTTTGGACTGGAAGAGTTGCTCTCTGGCTGCCATTTTGTGTCCACAGGGTGGACCCTGGTTAGCCATCATGAATCCCTTCATCTAGCAAGAGACGGCATGCTTGGATTTTGCTCTTGCCATTCCTGTTTCCTGCGGACCAGGACCCCCCGCTTTCCTCCACACCAAGGTTCCATTATCAGAACCTCTTCAGCAGATCTTGGACCTGGCCCTCTTAATATCGAGAACTCCTTGATGCCTCCCGTCCCCTCACTTCTTCATCTCGTTCTCCCTTCCTTAGACATTGACTGCGTGCCTGTCGTGTGTGCTAAGTGCTAAGTGATGTGGTTAATGAAGGAGACAGACCTGGTTCCTGTCCTGGTGGGGCTTATATCCTAGAGGGAGAAAGTCCACAACCAGGTAAAGGACAAAACAATAATTTCATGTTATAACAGGTGCTTCGAAGAAAAAAGAAGGGGCTGAAGGAAAATAGTGGAACGGAGTCAGGGTGCTCCTTTACAAGGAGCCGCTAGGGTGGTGCATTTAAGCTGAGAAAAGCCGACCTCTTTGTAAGGGGATAGCAGGGGAGGTCATAATCTCAGGTGATGTTCTCAGCAAAGAGTCAGGTGTGGGTTGAGATGAAGAGGTGAAAAAAGACTTTGAAAAACTCTGACACCAAACTCTGGTCCTGGTGCTGAGCTCAGAGCAGGTGTCCCAGGGTGCTCAGGGAAGTATGTGTATGTGGTGGGTCCCTGGGTGTCTGGTAGATCAGGGACCTACAGAACCAAAGGCAAATCTATTAATTCTTCTGTCCGTCTGCATGTGTTATGGAGCATTACACACATCAGGCCCTGATCTGGGCCGTTGGGCTACATCAGCAAACTAAACAAACATGTCTACTTGGTGGAGTTTATGTTCTAGGTGGGAGAAATGGAAAATAAATGACGAAAGTCATACCCCAGTAAATGATGTCCAAGGTCGGTAGTGAAGGATGAGCTGGGAGTGAGGAGTATGAAGACAGAGGCAAGCGTGCCCATGCGTGTGTGTGTGTGTGCGCGTGATTTGAAATAGAGTGGTCAGCATAGGCTTCATTCCGGGGTAAGAGGTAAGATTCAAGGAGGTGAGGGGTTTAGCTGTACTGGGGAAGAGGGCCCCAGGCAGACTGAACAGCCAGTAGGAAGGCCCAGAAATGGGAGCATGGCTTCTGGGTAATGAGGGGCTGGGCAGCTGGACCTGTGGAGGGGACTGAGCTTCACAGGCCCGTGACGCCGGATGGTGTCTGAGGGGAGGGCGGGGCTCCGGTTCCCAAGGCACATTGTTCTGGTGTTCGCTGGTGGCTGCCATTCACAGAGGCCTGACCTGGTGCCCAGGGGGACGTGGGTGGCACATTGTTCCAGGTACCAGGATCATGCAAAGGCCCTGTCCTGCCTCTCTCCCCAGGCCTCTAAGTTTCCCTCAGCCCTCCAGGGCGGCACCCCCACCTGCACCCCAGCCTGGCTCTCCCAACCACCCACGGGCTGTCTTTAATCCACATTGCCAATATACTCTTCCAGTCTGATCTTGTGCTAACCCCAGCCCTGACTCCTCAGTGCGGAAGGACCCACGTGAGATGTCAAGAGGGCAGGACCTGGCAGCCTGCACTAACAGGCATTGCTGATGAGTTAAGGGATGGGCTGAACCTGACATTGGATGGAAGAGAACCCTCAGGCTTTTCAGAGCCAGACAGGTTTTGACTTATATTTTGCCTTTGCCCCTTACTTGTTGGAGGACCTTGCACAAGTTATTCTAGGAACTTCAGGGAATCCTGGGAAGCTTCCAGATTTTGAAGACCTTCTTCACGCTTGGATTTTTTTTTCTTTTTGACATACCATAAAAAGTATACAATTCAGTAGTTTTCAGTATAACCATAACCACTATCTAGTTCCGGAACATTTTTCTCACCCAGAAAGAGACCCTTACCCGTTCACACTTACTCAGCATTCACCCTTGGCCTCAGCCCCAGCAACAGGAAATCTACACTCTGTCTCTATGGATTTGCTTGTCTCAGACCTTTTGTATAAATGGAATCATACACCGTGTGGCCTTCGCTTAAGCTAATGTTTTCAAGGGCCATCTATGTTCTTGCATGGATCAGGACTTCCCGCCCGCCCTTTGATGTGATGAGCACCAGGCATCAGGGGATTTCTGTAGCACCTACTTCTCTGCACACATTTGCCACTGATGAGCAGTCAACATCCCCCAGCCCCCAAGCTTGAGGCCTGCACACAAATGCTTTTGCATTTACTGCCTCCTACGTCCTGGGTATGTGTCCTCCTTGGGCTTCTACTGAGCGGTAAAGCAGGTAAGAATCATTATCTCACAGGTTGTCGTGAAGACTACTGAAACAGCTATAAAAGCATCTACCCTCTCTGTATCACATATGCTGCAATAGAACTCTGCATATTCCTGCATGAAGTACCTTGCCCCCCTCCACGCAGGAAGTCCTTGCTCCTGCCGTGTGGTCTGGGCTTGGGGCTGTCTGGGGTGGTAAGGGTTCCGATTAAGCTGCATCCTAGGTTCTGGGGGTGCTTCTGACTATGGTGCTGGATAAGGGGGCTACTTGCCTGAACCTCAGGGAGGCAGGAAGCAGTGAGGGGGTCTGACAGAAGCTTGGCTCCGAGAGTTTGTTAGATAAATAAATGCCTGAAGGGAAAGCTAATGGCTATAACGGACCCTGAGTGCCTCAGTCTCCAGCTAAAAGTGCTGAGTTGTAGCCGGTGTCCCAGTACAGTCAGTTCCTCATATCACGGCCTCGGTTCGCCAGCCACCACTTCTTGCCACTCCTCTCTGTCAGCGAGGGACCCTTTGGAATAGGAGTGTCTTTAGAGTAGCCTTGGGCAAGCTGCTGTCTGCGGTTCAAATCTGAGCTGAAGGCACAGTGGGGGTGGGGAGGGTGTGCTCTTGGGCACTGAGACTCCGGGCAGGGCAAGCGGGTTTGTACAAAGTTGAGAGTCTTGACCAACCCAGCACTCCTCTCTTATGATGTTTAGAGACACCCCAGCAGGACCCAGAAATTCAAGAACAGGGGAACGGATGGTTTGAGGAGGGTGAAGAAGAGGAGTGACGGGATGCTGGCTCGAATTTGGGGTACCCCCATTCTGTGATGCCCCCTTCTTCTCATCCCAGGTCTGTGTCTCCCTCATTTGAGAATCTTGAACTGCACTTCTAAGTCATCCCGAGCAGCAGAAGCATGTGGGGAAATGTAAAAAGCCACAGATGCCGAGGCCCCTCACTCAGCCACATCTAATTCAATTGCTGTAGGGGCATCGGGCAAGTTCTAATAAGGTCTCCAGGCAGCTCCAATGTACACAAAGTTGAGCACTTAGTTGGAGTCACTTCTCACTCACCTAGGAGGAAACTTCCCAGAGGCAAGACGCAGTCTTTGGCACATTTGGGGGACAGCCAACTCTAGGAGTAGAGAGATCCCCGCCCCCACTGCCCACTTGGCTTTGCGGTCATGGCTGGGTAGCCACTCCTGGAGCAAGCTGGGCCTGCAGCCCCCCAGGGATCGGCAGGGCTCAAGACCACCGGGGCCCACGGGAGGCTAGGGACTGGGGAGAACCTTCCCAGGGTAGGGCCAGGCGGCCATGTGGTGGCAGGGGGAGCCGCAAGTGGAGGGGGTGGGGAGGAAATGCCAGCCAGCTGCAGCCTCCTCTGCGACCCTACAGAACCCCCCAGCTGCCTCTGTGCCCCTCAGGGAGCTCCGAGAGGGCCCCTGAAATTTCCCTATGGGTCTGAGGCGCTTCTCTAGAGTGTCACAGGACGACCCCCAGTGCTCTCCCTGCCCCGTCCCGGCGAAGGCAAGCAACCCCCCCGCCCCAACTGGCAGGAGACAGGGGCACCGTTCTGTCGCACTCAAAGGTAGGGGCGGTGGAGCGCTTCCCCTGCAGCCGGCCCTTTATGGGGAAGCAGGGAGATGAGGGATTTGAGCAGGAGGAAGTAGGTGGGGAGAGCAGGGGTCTGTATTTCGCCGTCGCTGGGCAGGGCTCTGAGACAAGAGAGGAAGGAGAGAAAAGGGCACCCCGGGCGGCGTGCGTGCCACCCCCACGGCCACCGCGGAGCCTGGGCCCACGCTCGCCAGGAAGGAGGCCCGGCGCTCCCGAGAAGGGCAGGGTTGAGGCCCCAGCGGGAGGAGCTCTGACCGAAGCTCCAGGGTGCTTCCGTCGGGGGGGGCCGGGGGGGCGGGGAGGTGGGCTCCGTAGAAATACCTGCACTGATTACCGATCGGGTGTAGGATTCGTTTCCGTTTAGGAAGTATTTTCTCGTAGAACTCTTTTGATTCTCCCGGCAACCCCGGAGGGCAAGCTGAGCCAGTTTTACCCACCCCATTGGATAGAGGAGGAGACCGGGGTCCCCAGAGGTCAAGTACCGGAGAGTCGGCCTTGCGGGCGGTGGGCCCGGGGGAGGAGCTCGTGCGCGCCGACTTTCACTTTCCTGTTTGCCCACTGCCGGCCTCCGGCGGCCCCGGCGCCCTGACCTGTGCCCTCCTGGCGTCACCCCCGCCAGCAGCCGGTCGGCCCTGTCGCCAGGCCCCCGTCCCCCTGGGCAGGTGCACGACGGGAGCGGTGTGGGGTCTTGGCTCCTCCGCCGAGAGACTGGAGTTTGGGCCGCTGTGCGCGAACTTTGCTCTGTGCCGCGCGCCTTTCATCACGTTTGACGGCACTTACTTGAGCCCACGTTCAGGCCTTTAGCCTTCTTCCTCTCATTGTTGCTTTCTCTTTTACTCATGCTCGCCGCGAGCAAACCATGGCCCACTTTCCCTCCCCCGCCAGCCCCGCCAGCCGCAGAAGATCGCAGCCTCCGAAAAACCTTCTCTCGTCCCCTTGGAACAGGCTGGTGCCTGGGGAAGAGAAGCCAGAGTTCTCTTAGCTTTTTGGCTCTTTTTTCTTCTTTAAGCTGCACATTTGTTTTACTCTTCCTTCCCCTGTCTCCGTTGTTCCAAGTTTCGCTCCTGCACGGACTTGAGACTGCATTCGCTGCCTGACATTTTCTTGCGGCTTCTGAAGGCTTCCCCATTTAGTTATTCCGAGTGGGAATTATAATAACCTTTTGTTCTGCTTAGGAAGGAAACCTAGGAGGGGCGCCCGGGTGGCTCAGTCGTTAAGCGTCTGCCTTGGGCTCGGGTCATGGGATCGAGTCCCACATCGGGCTCCCTGATCGGCAGGGGGCCTGCTTCTCCCTCTCCCCCTGCTTCTCCCTCTCCCACTCCCCCTGCTGTGTTCCCTCTCTCGCTGTGTCTCTCTCTGTCAAATAAGTAAATAAAATCTTTAAAAAAAAAAAAAAAAAAAAGGAAACCTAGGAGCCAATGTTCCTAGGGCGGCTCCTAGGGATCCCTGCGCGTCCTGGCACGTCGGGGTTTCCAGAGCGTTCTTGTGTACTTGGTTATCACAGCAATGATGTGAGGCTGGCAGAGCAGGGATGGTCATGCCCATTTTACAGAGGCAGAAACAGAGGATCACAGAAGGTGGTTTATCGAGGGTCACTGGACTTAAAGTTTTGGCCTTAAACGACCAATTTTGCATAAGAAAAACCTTTGTTTCAGAGTATAGAAAAGTTCAAATATAGAGCCCAAGTTGATATCCGGTGCTGTCTCAGTCGGCTTGGGCTACCATAACAAAATACCACAGATTGGGTGCTTTAAATAAGAGAAATCTATTTCTCACAGTTCTGGAGGCTGGGAAGTCCAAGTTCAAGGTTTGCCAGCTGATCTGCTTCCTGGCAGAAGCTCTCTTCCTGTCTTGCAGACAGCTGCCTTCTCTCTGTGGCCTCTCCCTGTGTCTCACATGAGCGATCTCTCTCCCTTTTCCTCTTCTTATAAGGCCACAGTTCTATCCGATTAGGGCCTGCCATGACCTCATTTAACCTTACTTAGCTCCTAAAGATTCTATTTCCAGGAGCCACCAGCCTGGGTGGCTCAGTAGGTTAAGTGTCTTCCTTCGGCTCAGGTCATGATCCCGGGGTCCTGGGATCCAGTCCCACGTTGGGCTCCCTGCTCAGTGGAGAGTCTGCTTCTCCCTCTCCCTCTGCTCCTCCCCCTGCTTGTTCTCTCTCTCTCTCTCTCTGTCAAATAAATAAATAAATAAATAAATAAAATCTTAAAAAAAAATTAAAAAAGGATCTATTTCCAGATATAGTCAGAAATATGTGATGGGTTTAGAAATTCAACATACGAATTTTGGGGGCTCACAATTCAGCCCATAGCAGATGTGTCTAGGAGAGATCAGCCTGGCTTCTACCATCTGTTACAAATTAGTGAATTCACTTTGGACCAAGGACCTCGGGTTCTCAGGTTCTCCGAACTGTGAGCTCCCCAAGCTCAGCCCTGCCTGTGCTCAGACATTGGTTGCTGACATAACTGACCCCAGCTCCAAAGTTATACGTTTCTTAAGGTAAACTAATTGCAGGCCTAAGAGGGAGCAACTTTATCTCCGATCTCTTCCATTAAGTGTTGGTTTATATTTACTCTCAGAGAGCCAACTTATTTCCGTTTCTTATGGGACACCTCACTGTCACTTCCACGCACCAGCTATATGGAACAAGACAGGTCCCCTCACTCTCGGTTAAGCTTAATCTCTCTTCTCTTGGCTCCGATTGTCCTACTATTTTGTGAATCTCATTCATACCCATGGACCCTTCATTTCTCGAATCAGAGAAGACGGAGCCCATCCCTCACCTTCTGCACTGTGTGAATGTAGGGTTCTTGCTCATTGTTTCCACTGAAAGTCAGACTCAGCAAATAATAATATATTAATCTAATAACACAAAACACTTTTTGGGAGACCTAATCCTGGAGACAGAAGGAGCCTAACACTGAGTGGTACCTTTCTTTTCTCAAGAAACATATCCCCAAACTCTGCCTGCAATTCTCACTTTCCTTCTCTTGCCTATAAATCTGCTGATTTCAGATTCCACTTTGAAAAATGTGAAACTGGGGCACCTGGGTTGCTCAGTTGGTTAAGCATCTGCCTTCGGCTCAGGTCATGATCCTGGAGTCCCTGGATCGAGCCCCGCATCCAGCTCCTTCTGGGGGTGGGGGGAGTCTTTTTCTCCCTCTCCCTCTACCTCTCCCCCTGCTTGTATTCTCTCGCTCGCTCGCTCATTCTCTCTCTCTCTCTCAAATAGTTAAAATCTTCCCCCCCAAAAAAGGAAAAATGTGAAACTAGTTGGATCAATTAATTTGTTCATTAACTCAGCAAACATTTGTGGAGCACTCTCTATGTGCCCGATACTGGGCTGTGGATGTTTGGGGCATGCTGAGGCAAGGAGAGTCTTTGTCCTCTGAAAATGTAGAAGCCACACAGGTAAACGAGCCACTACACTGCTGTGTGAAAACCTCTGTGATAAGCATTATACAGAGTAGCAGAGGATCACTTGGGGATGCAGGCGGTCATTCCAACCCCATGGTAGTAGCTGCATCTCCCAACAACTACACTTCCAACAACTACACTACCCTTTCCAAAGGATTGGATCCTCTCCCCTGGGCTTCAGCTCTCCCTGGGCTCTGATACCTCTGTTGTCTTTTCAGCCCCAGTTTGGTAATGGCTTCCCACCATGGCTAGTCTATAGGCGTTCCATCTTCCTTTCTCAATTCATGTAACCCTTCCTATACCTCTGAAAGTGGTTCTTTCATTCGCGATTCTTCTTTTGAACCATCCCAGGTGAGTTCTGTTTCTGCCAGGATCATCATTACTGAAGTGGGCACCAGAACACGAGTGAGTTTGGCACCTGCAGGGAGTAGGACCCAGGAATCGGGTGTGAGGGGGAAAGAGGGGAGAGGAATGGTCAGGGATGGGGCCAAGAGAAGCCAATTCATGAATGCTAAGGATTAAGGGATTTTATTCTGAAAGCTCGGATTAGCCAGTGAAGGATTTTAAGAATGAGGGACTTGATCCGATTTCTGTTATAGAAAGAAAGTTTACTGACTGCAGTGCATCAAGGTGGTGTGGGAGGGGTTACGACAGGGTGATTAGTCAGGAGGTACGTGAGACACAAGAGGATTGGAGCTTCATCAGCTAATGGCACATCTTACGAGGTTTCCTACCTCTGTAAGCCATTGGTTCCTATCCTTCCAAAGTTCTAGTTAGTCGGTTTTCCTTCCATTTTGGGAAGCTACCCAGTATCTTTCTGATATATATACATCCCTCATAACAAATCAGCCACAGCTAGGTTCCATTGCTTGCAACTAAAGAATCCTGATGCCATTTTCAAGTAGGAAATGAGTAGGGTTCATAGGATATGGAATGGGTGGATTCCCCGACACTTGGGAATAAGTCACTGATTTGTGATTGAAAGAATACATGAGGCTAAAGAAGAGAGAGAAGTCCAGAATGACTTGACTTTTAGATTTGAGAGACTAGGTACACCAAGTACCATTCACTGAGATAGGATCAGCTTTCCACCCCAACTGTGGGGGAGGGATGATTAGCTCAGCTTTTACAAAGTGAGTTTGCAAATGCTAATGGAAATATTCCGTAGACCTTCAGGTATGTGCCTCCTCCTGAATTTAGGAAAAATATCTGGCTGGAGAGAGATATTTGGGAAGCATCAGCTTGTAAGTAACATTTAAAACTGTGGGAGTAGATGAGGTCACTCAGGAAGAGTAGGTAACCTGAAAATCCAAGAAAGAAGAGCTGGGGGGAGGTAAGTAGCCCGCACAGGTGAGGAGTTAGAGATAGTAGAAGTAGGTCAAGGGGTGAGAGAGTGAGGGGACTGAGCATGGAATCTGGGGGGCAGAAAAGAGTGAAGGGAAAACAAAAGGGGTTTGAGAGGATGGAGAGAGTGGGTGGGATTCGGAACCAGGGGTGCCAGTCTGGTTGAGTGGTGATCTGGAAGAATAGGATGCAGTCAGGGGGTGGGTATTTGAGTCTAAGATTTCAGAGATGGAGCAATTCTAGGGAGCAATTAAACTTCAGGTGTGGGCTTGAAAGGTCAAGGTACTATGAGGCTGAGGTCGTTTATGGATGGCCTTCTGCAAGGAGATGAAAGTCCTCTGGAAGGGAGCCATACCACAAGTGCCTGAGTTTGAGGCGAGTGTGTAATGAGGTCAGAGGTGAGGATGACAGGGGCTGAGGGAAGTGTTAATGACCCGGAAGTGCAAAAGGGAGACTTCTGCTCAGAGGCAGAGCTTGAAAATACAGAGCAGCTTCTATTCCAGATAAGTTCAGAAAAGTGGTCGTCTCTGGGAGAGCAGAATTTCCCTCTGTGCAAGGAAAGTAGATGATACAGAAGGCAGGGAACCTCTTTGACTAGGTTCAGAATAATGAAAGTGTGGTTTGGTTTGGTTTTGTTTTACCATCAACTAGGGCATGACTGGTTAGCAGTAAGTGCTAAGAAGGAGGAGAATGGAGGGAAATTGGATCTGAGGAGCGGAGCAGAAAGGGGCTAGATGATCAGAGGGGTCTGCCATGTTGATGATGTCCAGAGAGGTTGGTGCCTTAGGCCCGGTCGTCACCCCCCAGCCCCCGGCCCGCAACGACGGCTTCCCCCACTCTTTGGCCTTCCATGGGCAAAAGTCACCTGGGATGCGGGAAACTCTGGGACTTGTGTTTCCTCCCAAAGGAGTCATTTCCCACTTTAAGCTAAAGAAGCAACTCTCTCTCTAACAGGAATACCCACCTAGAGGTAGTAAGTGTTAATCGGAAATTTTGATACCATGAATATTTTAAACATTAAGCACTTCTCAACTGTTTGCATTTGCCACCCTCTGTGACTGACGTCACATACAAATGTACTTCTTCTTTTTTTTTTTACAAATGTACTTCTGTGAGGATGGTTTTCTGAAGTTTTTATCAGTTATAATTTTATTTTAAATATTTTATTTATATATTTTATTTTAGAGAGAGAGAGTGAAGGCAGGGGGGGAAGGGGCAGAGAGAGAGAGAATCTCAAGCAGACTCCGTGCTGAGCACAGAGCCCAACGTGGGGCTCCATCTCATGACCCTGAGATCATGACCTGAGCCGAAACCAAGAGTCGGAGGCTTAATTGGCTGAGCCACCCAGGTGCCCCTCAATTATGATTAAAAAAAAAATATTAAAACATGTTTTTTTTTTTCTTTCTAAGAAGATACATTTAGTGGTCTCATAACAAGGAGTAAGAATTCGTCAGTGTGAACATAGGGTCTATTTGGTCCAAGTTGGCACATCAGCAAAGAATGTTCTTCGTTGCTAAAGGATTAGGAAAGACTAAAATGGTTACCAAATTGTCAAGTCAGGAACATTTTTGTGCAATATACAAAAGGTTCGTTAGTCTACCCGCAATGGTTTTGACATGTGTTCTTTTTTTGTTATCTACTGCTATATCACCAGGTGAAGAGAAGTCAAAAGTCCTCTGGGGAAAACCCCACTTCTCTCACAACAGGTAAGAGTTTACTCTCCAGAGGAACAGAGCTGAGGGTTCTTGAGCTAATAACTAAGCCTGAGGCCACTTCTAGTTTGTGAATTCTGACCCCTGGGGGTTGGTTTCTGCAAATGCACCTGCGCGTTGGGGCAGGACACACAACTTTGGCTTGCACTGCCTTTAAAAAGCCCTGTCACTGAAGGGGACCAAGAACGTGGAGCCATCTATTACCAAACGGAAGAGAAAGAAGGTATTATAAGGCACCTGAATGCAAAGGTGAACTCATTAAAAAATAAAACAAAGGACTTGGGAACTTACTGGCAATTTTTCTAATTACCCAGAAAAGGATTTAGAAAAATGATTTAACAAATCATGAAAATGTCATTGTGTGTCAGTTTTCTTCATAAAGACAAAATGACTGGTAAACAGCAGTACTTCATTAAAGATTTATTAAGCATTGAATGTTTAAAAATATTGTCAAATGGCCCATGTAACATGGGGAAGAAGGATGGTGTTTTAGCTCTGGAGAAGATCATACTGGTAATTGTTGGAATTAGTCAATGTCAAAATCTTAACTTCTAATTTTTTTTTTAACAAGGCAAGTTAAGTGGGAATGAAAAACAGATTCAGAATATGGGCCTAAGCTTCAAAAAATTCAGTGTTTTTCTCATTTCTCGGAAAACCTGGTAATAGAATGTAAGGCCTCAGAAGCTACTTCTTTACACTCCATCTTAGCCAAAAGGCTGAGGAACGACAGAAGCTAAATCGTTAGCTCCGTGAAAGAATTGGAGCTGAATTGCTACTAATGCCTGTCGCCCAAATACAGTTAAGAGCCTCATTGTTTGAAATTAACGACATTAATTTGAAATCATCTTCAATAATCAGATTGTGTGAAAGAGGGTCTTGGCACGGGAGCATCTTCTCCGACTCTTCAGAGTATTTGCCTGTTACTTTTATATATTCAGCCACTGGTTGATAGAACCATCCCGGCCATAGCATAGAACCCTTCCTAAGCAGTGGCATTTGATGACTAGGGTCTCATTTGTGCAAAGAGAGTAGTGGGAGGGAAACTCTCCAGTCTAGTCTGAATACAACTGTGAGAAGTAGAAGCCTCCTAGTATTGCTACCAGGGAATTTTCTGTTTTCTAGCTTGACCCCCATAATTAGAGAACAACCCAGAAGACCGTGATCGAAACAGTGAAGCAGAGTTTATCCGTGGCTCATTCAGCAACAATCTTTAAACTTTTTTTTTTTTTCCAGTGAGTACCTAATATGTGCAGACAAAGATTTTAGGGATACATGACCCTAACCCTAATGGACCTCATAGTCTAAAGAAAGAATCAAATACATGACTACAAAAATTTTTTTTAAGATTTTATTTATTTATTTGACAGAGACACAGCGAGAGAGGGAACACAAGCAGGGGGAGTGGGAGAGGGAGAAGCAGGCTTCCCGCTGAGCAAGGAGCCTGATGTGGGGCTCGATCCCAGGACACCGGGATCATGACCCGAGCCAAAGGCAGACGCTTAATGACTGAGCCACCCAGGAGCCCCAAGTGTCCGATTCTTGATTTCTGCTCAGGTCAGAGAGTTAGAGATTTTATTTTTCCAAGTAGCTGCCTTCCTGTGCCAGAAATCCTTAGTAATAATTTAATAACATATATTTTCTTCACTAATTTGAAATGCCACCTTTATCATATACTAAATTCCCGTATGTATTTGGGTCAATCTCAGGAAGAATTTCTATCTGCTTCTTTCTGCATGACTCCCTTATCATTTTTAAGTGGCTTTATTTTTTATTTTCATATCTGGTAAAGCTAGTCATCCCTCATTACTTTCATTTTTTAGCTTATTACACATATATTATTACATGCGCATTCTCATGGAAGGTTTTTGAATAGAACACAACTACTCAAAATGATGATGATGATGATGGTGATGATGCATTTATGGCATGTTTATTATTATGTCAGATCCTGTTCTAAGTGCTTTAATATTACTGATTAAATTCCGCTATGTTGTAAATGCTTTTATTACCATTCCCGTTACGGACACGAGAAACTGAGAGAGTGAGGTGCTTACTCCCTTATCTTCTCAATATTTCTTAGTTTACATTTTCAAGAGAAAGAGTCATCAACTTTCTATACCAGGACCCATCATAGGTCACCAACCAAGCTATGGATTGGCTCATATTCAGCTATCGTCCCGTGAGGTCACAGTCTCTTAGAACAAAGCAGAGAGTCCCCTAGGCTGGTGGTGGTGGGACAGGCACCACGGCTGGTACATTTGGTACATCCTCCCAATGATACCTGTGTGCGTGCTTTCTCGGTTTCCTCTGATGTTTGCTCCTGGACAAGAAACCCATGTCCACTTTGGGGTTCTGGGTAGGAGCAAATGAACGTCAATAAAACTTCTTGGAGGTAGAATCAACCTGCCGTAAGAGACACAGGTGAATTCATATGGGTTCAGGGATTTTTGCCATACCAGTGCAACTAAAAAATATTTAAGAGGTTCACGAGATTTGCTCGGCTTACCAGCAAGCTTTGTCTGGTTGGCCTATCAAAGACTAAACTTTCAGGTTTCATAGTGGGTATGCTACTAGGGTTAAGTAGTTGACGCATTAGAGGAAGGTGAGAAAATATAATGAATAGGATGTACGCTGCAAATAGGTGGCATTCACACCCAGAGGATGAAGAGTTTGTAGAACCATTTTTTCTCCCATCCCCCACTTACCCATCTCCTAAAAGGAGATGTTTTTCTGTAACTCTGCCAGGGAGAAACCTCATTGTTTGTTTTAAGAGAACACTCCATTAGTTCTGCGGTATAGAAAGGGAGTTGGGAGTTTTGCATTTGTCTGTGAGTGTCTCAAATATTTATGCATAACACTTGCGAATTTTAAGGTGTTAGTGTTACTTGTGTTTTTATGAGAGCTGTCTGCAGGAACATTCAACTGTTGAGGGAACCTAAAAACACCTGGATCTTTTAAGATCATAAAGAATTAAGTAGTTTTCCATCAGAATCTCTCCAGCTTACTTTTGAAAGCTTCCTCTGCTTTTCAGGCTTATCATTGTCCTTTCTTTTATAGGATGCAAATCTCCCACTGAGGAGAGATCTAAATGCTAGAGCACTGGAAGACTTGAGTGTTGTTTTTACCAGGAAATCCAGCTGGAGGAAAATGATATATAATCGTGAACAGAAGACTTCGTATTTAAATGATTGTTTATTATTTGCATTTTATTCAAATTCTTAGGAACTCTTGGAAATAAACACAGGAGGAAAGCTTTGGGAAACCACCATCTAAATACCAATGCCGATGGATGACACTTGTCCTGCTCTGCTTTGTATCCGAGTTATTTGTGCCCTTTTTCAACTCCTCAGACTCTAAGATCTTGAGAGTTGTGTCTAAGTTATATTCTGAGCCCCCATGGTGCTTCATATAGTATTTAGTAATCACTGTGCTGAAACAGACTGTCATTTGAAGACAAAAATTTCCCCTCTTGGAAAAATTAGGATGCTATCAGCAGAGGACTCTGAAAGAAGAACATAGTAAACACAACGTAATCGGGGCAAAAGGCTCTCTCAGTGTGACAAGCTCTTACTGCATTAAAATAATATATATTAAAATAATATAAAATTATTCCATTATTGAACTTTATCAGCACCACACTCTAACCAGCTGAGCTAACTGGCCAACCCCCGTTATTGAACTTTAGAGATGAAGGATAGCTCAGCCAGAACTCCCTAGGGCAGCTTTGGAGACATCTGTAGAGAGTATAACCTGAGCGCAGGCTACTGTCTAAATATGTTGGGTCGAAGAGAGAAAAACTGGCAGAACCCCAAATTAAAATCCTCCTTATTTTTTACCTCCGCCCTTCACTTCTTCCTTTCTGTCTTCTTGGAGAGCTCTTCGTTGTTGTCTTTGTAGCACTTTTCTGCACACTCTCCAGCCGCTGGTTTCAGATTTTCATAAGGTTGTGGTATATTTATTTATTTATTTATTTTTTTAAGATTTTATTTATTTATTTGAGAGAGAGAGAATGAGAGACAGAGAGCATGAGAGGGAGGAGGGTCAGAGGGAGAAGCAGACTCCCTGCCGAGCAGGGAGCCCGATGCGGGACTCGATCCCGGGACTCCAGGATCATGACCTGAGCCGAAGGCAGTCGCTTAACCAACTGAGCCATCCAGGCGCCCAGGTTGTGGTATATTTAAAAACTGCTGATACTAACGTACTTAAGGCATCAGGCAAAGAGAAGGTAAGAACCTTAACTTAAGGCCCTTTAAAGCACGCTTGGGAAAAGAAAAAGGACCTTTTGGTTTAGGGAAAACTGTAAAATAGTAACCAATATCTTACCATTTTTTAAAACGACCTTTTGGTTTAGGAAAACTGTAAAATAGTAACCAATATCTTACCATTTTTTAAAATGATGCTATTGTTATTGGGTCATACTTTTCCTTTTGTATATAAGCTCAGTCATCACACAGTAGCCCATGAAATTGATGGACTCAGATAACCTCATTTTAGCAATAGGAACAGGGAGACATGAAAGCTGGGAGAAAGTAATGCATTTGTACGATATCTTTCTTATCCTAAATTACTATGGGAGACTTCCACTCAGTCTTTGCAGTAAGGAATCAAGCCTGAGATGAGACCAGTAGAGCAGAGGCATAGTAGATTAGTACCAGGGTCTTGTTTCTAGAAGAGAAACACCCAGAAAAATAGGAAACACAGTAATTACTATATTAATCTTTTCTCCTCAAGGGAGATTAATCTTAGCCTAAAATCTAACATGCTGTTGGTCTTAGAAAACACTCTTGTTTGTTGATTCCTGGAGTTGTTGTCACAACTGGAATGGTTTATTGAAGTGCCTGATACTTTACTTTAGATATTTAGATATTTTACTTTATAAAAGCTCCTTTACTTTAGGGCCTAAAAACAACAGATTTTCATCTAGTGTTATTACACAGAGGTTGTACCTAAAAGCAAGGTAGATAAGTTGACTTAAGAAATTCTGGTTGGGGCACCTGGGTTGCTCACTTGGTTAAGGGTCTGACTCTTGATTTCAGCTCAGGTCATGATCTCAGGGTCGTGGCATGGGCTCCTTGCTGGGTGGGAAGTCGGCTTGAGATTCTCCCTCTCTTTCTCTCTCTGCGTCTCCCGCTCATGCCCTCTCTCTAAAAAAAAATTTAATTAATTAATTAAAGAAATACATAATTAATTAATTCTTGTTGACTCTTCTGATCTTCTGGACCATTGATGTTTCCTGGTATTGTCTCTGGCTTTTTTTTTCTTTACTTTTTTTAATATAAAAGTTTTATTGAGATATAATTCACATACCATACAATTCACCCATTTAAAGTGTACAGTTGTAGTATATTCACAGAGTTGTGTAACCATTATCACAATCAATTTTAGTACATTTTCATCACCTCAAAAAGAAATCCCATGCCCCGTCACACCCCCCAACCCTTGCTAACCACTAATCTCTGTCTTTATAGATTTGCCAAATCTGAACATTTAATATAACTGAAATCATACAGTATGTGGTCTTTTGTGACTGGCTTCTTTCACATAAACTTAGCATACTGTTTGCCGTGTTCATCCCTAATATAGCATGTATTAATACTTCATTCTTTTTTGTTGCTGAATAATATTCCATTGTACATTTTAATTCAGTCATCAACTGCTGAATCTTGGGTTGTTTCTAATTTTTGCCTATTATGAATAATGCTGCTATGAACATTTTGTACTAGTTTTTCTGTGGATATAGGTTTGCATTTCTCTAACCTAAGGGTTGAATTGCTGGGTCATATGGTAACTCAATGTTCAGTCTTTTGAGGACGTGCCAGACTGTTTTCCAAAGCAGCTGTGCCATTTTCCATTCCCACCAGCAGTGTAGGAGGGTTCCAATTTCTCCACCTCCTCACCAATCTTGTTATTCTCTTTTTGATTATGGCCATCCTAGTGGGTAGGAAGTGGTATTTCACTGTGAGTTTGATTTAGGCTAATGATATTGAGCATCTTTTTGTGTGCTTATTGACTATTTAATATTTTCTTTGGAGAACTGTCTATTCAGATCCTTTGTCCATTTTCAGATTGGGTTCTCAGTTCTAGTTCATTGATCAATATGTCTATCCTTCTGCCAGTACCATATGGTCTTCATTACTGTATATTTGTAGTCAGGTTAGAAATTGGGAAATGTGGGTCCTCCAACCTTCTTCTTTCTTTTTGAAATTGTTTTATTTATTCTGGGTTCCTTGCATTTCCATATTAGGATCAGTTTGTCAATTTTTACAACAAAGCCAACGGATTTTGATGAAGACTGTGTTGATTCTGTGATCAATTTGGGGAGTATTGCCTTCCTAACAATATCATCTTCTGATCCATAAATATGGATACTTTTACATTTATTTACATCTCCTTTAATTTCTTTCAACATTTCATAGTTTTCAGAGTATAAGTTTTGCACTTTATTATTAAATCTATTCCTAGGTATTTTATTCTTTCGTGTGTTACTATAAATGGAAATTTTTTTCTTTATTTCATTTTCAGATTGTTCCTTGCAAGGGTATAGAAATACAATTGAATTTTGTACATTTGATTCACTTTTGCTCTAAGGTAACACTTATGCTGGTAACAGAAAACACCTACAAGAAATAAGGTTTAGAATAGATTATCCTAATGAAATAACACATTATAGCCAAGCAGGGGTTCTGTTTCATCCTGAGGAATGAAATATCTCATCAAAAAGCAGATGCATAATGCAAAGGCATTTAAATGTATCATATCCATCCCATAGAGGGCTTTTGATACTTAAGTATCTCCCGGAACAGGTAAATAGCATTGTCTATTTCTATTTGTACTTAATTTTCTCCAGCAACAGCTAATAATTAACTAAGTACTGGCACCCTAATTCTCTTCCTTCTAATTTTGACTCAGATGTCAATTCCTCAGAAGGTCTTTCCTGACGCATCTGTGTATGGTTGTCCTCCTGCATTTACTTGGTAACACATCACCAAATTTATTGCCTTAATCACACCTATTACAATCTGTAATTATCTCATTTGTTTACTGTCTGTCTGTACTACATAGTGTAAGTCCATGAGAACAGGGATTTTTCGTGTATTTGCTCACTACAGAATTTCTAATGATTAACACTAATTTTTGGTGCACTAGGGAATAAATGGATTTTCCAACTACAAAAGCATAGCATTGATAACTACCAACCATGCAAAGCAATAAACAAATGGCATTGACATTGCACTTGTGAATGCTTTTATGTACACCCCAAAGAATTGTAGAGATATGAATAAGATGGGTCAGAAAGACTCACTCATTAGCTAAGTGCCCCAACTCCTCACATGAGCCTCAAAGCTTGGGTTCAAAGTCGGCTTCCTACACAAAATGATCAGTTGTATACACCATGGACTTTTGGAGTTGCCCTTCAGTAGTTGAACTCTTGGATGTTAGATTTGCAAGTGTCCATGATATATTTTGTGGCTGTCTGGGAAAAGTCCATGAGAGGATTTTCTTTTAATCTGAGTACATTTAGATTCTAGCAATTCTAGTTGTCACAATATTATTCATTTGATTATTTAGTCTAGTTAGACGTCCTGAAATCTTTCATTCTATTCTGCAGTTTCTATATCCATCCAGATTTGTGTAACTTCAAAATATTCTCAAGTCAATTGACGTGCTTGGTGAAGACAAAATACTACAAGAATTCAAAATATGCCTTACATATTTAACTAAGATAAATATAACATTTTAAGAGAGTTCCAGGAAATTTGAGGAAAAGGAAGTGCAGTTTTAGTTATCAATCAACATCATATTTCATGTTAATTGCAGAAACAGAGGGCTGAATTTAGAGGGTAGGGCCACAAACAGAATGATGAGCCTTTATTGAGCTTTGCAGGTGGGCTGATGGTAGTTATTGTTTATACAAATCCATGTTAATTTGGATTTCTGGCTCCATTTTCCTTTTAAGAGGGGCAAGGATAAGAATCATTCATCAGCGATAAACTGATGTGATAAACATTTAAAGAACTTGAGCTCTTATGTTTTAGAAAATTTAGAAAACCAGTTGATTCAAAAAAGTTTTTCCTATCTAATATTTTACCCAGATTAATTAGGAAACATGATTTTTCCCTAAAAATGAACCAGAAAGAATATAGGTAAGAGACTTAATGACTCTGTCTCTGAAGGAATTGTGTGTTATTAATTCTGAATTCCAAAGATTTCACATGGTATCTGGCATATAAATGTTTGATAATCATATTGAAAAAGAAAGGACATTATCTTAAAGTAGATTGGGTACTTTCAGTTTTGACCTCATGGGATCTTTAGTGTTGAGGATGACTTCAAGTGGAAATGGGACACAGTTTTGGAGGCCTTGCTTAGTAAAGGAGTCTGGAGTGAGTGCTCTTCTGACTTACATTTCTTTCTCTTGCCTATACCAGACTAGTCAGTATTATAATTGTACTGCCTGTCCTGATCTATTAAAAGGAATCATACAGTCTCTTCCATATCTTAGAATGATATCCCCTTTCCCAATGTGATTTGCTGGATTTTCATCTTCTCTATTGATGTTGGACATGGGGGAGGATCTTGAAACCAAGATATTGAACTGATGCCTTAAAATGTGAAGAGTTCCCAAGGAAGAAATAAAGTAGACCTCCCAAGTTAAGCGTCCTTAAATTAGAGACAAAAGTCAAAGAGGCAGGCTGATTTCTTTCTGATACCAATTCTGGTTGTTATGGAGATGGGAGGGGGAGGAAACAGGAGGATTGTGAAATGTGCAGTGGAAGAAGGGGTTACTTATATAAGCTGGTGGCTCATAATATATCCCTTTAAGCTAGGTAGGAAGCATTCTCAACCTGGCTCCCATGGCACTTTGGGAATCAAGGTATCAATAATTTCCAGAAAATTCTGCAAACAAACCTGATAGTTTTTTTTTTGGTAACCTTACTCCAAAACTCTAAAAGACCACAGGTATTGAGAAAGGCCCTGGACCTGGTACTGATCTCCACTGCTCTTTCCCAGGTCATTTTTATTCTAATCTGAACATGACTGCATTGAGAATTCAGATTCAAATCACTTATAATAATTACTGAGCTGTCGCCTCTTGTTCCCTGAGGAATCCCCATCACCCATTCTGATAGACACCATGGGACTTCTTCCACTTGCCTTGGATAAGCCAGTACTTGCCAATGGTTTTCAAGATGCCAAAAGCCACCTGGGCTTATTTTTCTCCTAGAACCAGGTAGTAAAGAGAGACTTGATACTAAATAACTCTTAAGTAAAACAAGCTCAACCATTGCTCCTGGAGCTACAGCCAGCAGAACCTTGGCCTTGACCCTTTAATGAATGGCTCCGCGGGGGGGGTGGGGGGGGCGGAGAAGAATCCTCAGGCAGCAGCACCTGCTTCTGGAGAAGGTGCTTGTGCGAGTTTCTTTAGAAAATGGTTTCCAGGGAAACCATATAACTTCTATTCTTTTTTCTTAAATGTATTAAGCACCAAACGTGCCTGCTAGGGCTTGGAGTTCTCCTTTGAAGTCAGGAGCTGCTGAAGAAGAGTGTTTGCATGAAACACACCTACATAGCCAGAAATCATTTTTATGCTTCCTTCACTAAAATGTCAGCTGCATACTCAGCTGGGGAGAATTAAGTGACCTGGGTTTATCTCTGGGGTGAAAGATAGGGAAGATTAACTCCAGTTGCTTGAATTGCTTTTCTTCCCTGTTAGTATGATGGGTACTAAGAAATGATAGTCATGTTCAGATTGAGCAGCTGTGTCTTACGAGTTAGATCCTCTGTACATTAGACTATGTAGACAATAGAATGTCTTTCTGTATATCGTTTAATATGTAAAGAAATATTTAAGCAAGAAAAAAATCACAGAAAACTTGCCCGAAGAGTTTCCACACCTACATAGCCCCTTTCATGGCCGAAGACCTTCAGGAACTTGGTGTACTACCCTGCCCAGGTTTCCAGGGTAGTAGGGGTAGGTCCTGGCAGCCAGGTTTCCAGCACGTGGCCCCGCCTCCCTGATCGTAACTGATTGGCCTAGAGGTGGACAAGCTGAGCCAATCACAACCTTCAGTGTGGTTTAATTGGAACTTGAAGATGCTGGAGGTTTAAATTAGGTGTTCCAACCAGAGGAGGGCTAAGACGTGGCCGTGCTTAGCGACCTGCTCAACCAAGGAGAGGAGAGGGGGTCCGCACACAGAGATACTAGCACACAGAGGAGAAAGGTAAGGCAGAGGTGGGGAGGGAGAGAGATTGGAAAGACTTTTTGATGTTTTTAGTTCCCATTTCTTTGGGAAGCTTGGATGTACTTCTTGATCTAAGGTTTTATGAGCCAGATTTAGATCCTTAAAATAAATCCCACTTTGTTCTTAAGTTAGAGTGGTTTTCTGTTACTTCCAATTAAAAGGCCTCTCGTAAAACACCCAGCTCTGCTAGAATCAGCTTTTAGCACATGTCTTTCCCTGGTCCGGGTTTTGGGTTTTGTCATTTCTGACTGCCTGGGTGCTCTGGTAGGTGTACTTTTCCTGGTATTGCAAGGACACTGACCTCCTTCACCGGCCATTTGACGTGGGTGTGTGGCTTTAGTCATGCGCTTCACACGGGGGGTGGTTGGGTGATCTGCACAGAAATGCTGTTTCACACTCATGTGATGGGTTCTGGTGGAAGCGTCAGTGAGGCTTTTAATAGAACTGCCACCCAGCAGGCTGACCAGAAAAGGGCTAGAATTGAGGAGATTCAGAACTGTCCCTGCGAGGGAGACTTCTGGGTTTAGGGGGACTTTTTGTTTCAAAAAACACAGAATAGTAGATGGAGAAGGAACCTTAGGCAGAGTCCAGCTCTACCTCTTCTTTCTCCAGATGAGAATCCTGACCCCCTGAGGGGCTGATTGGTTTGCCAGGGGGTGGAACCAGGACTCCCCACCTGCAGCAGCGTGTTCTCTGCCCAACCCCATTCTGCCTCTAGCACTTTTTTCATGAAAAGAATATTTAGATTCCTGTGTAGGGAAGGAAAAAAATCCTCTGCCCTCTGCGTGTTCCCAGCTGGGCCTAGGAATTACAATGGCATAAGACAGATTAACAGGTGAAAAGCATCCAAGTTTTATTAAATTTTTATGTGTACGTGGAGGGCTTCACAAGAGAATGAGGTCCCAAAGAAGTGACCAGAACAGAAAGCTTTGGATCTTCTAGATAAGGAAATGGTACATTTGGGGAGAAATGGCAAGGCAAAGGGGTTTGGGTTAGGGGCAGTAAATTGTGGGGAGGTTACTAAGATATATATTGGTGATGGAAGTTAGTGGAAGAGGAGGAGAGTTATTTTAGTGTATTTGTACAGATCCATTTCGGTGGTGAATCCAAGTCTCTGGTGATAAGGATGTGCTTTTCTTCCTGATACAGGGAGGGCGGGCACCTCTCTCATGGAAGCTTTTATAGAAAAGGGGAGCCCGGACCATTCTTGCATCTGCTGTTTCTTAAGTGCTTTCAGTTAAAAATAGTCAATATGCCAAAGCGGCATATTTTGAGGTGGCACGTTCTGAACTCCTTCACCTGAGATCTTGCCTTCTGCACTGTTTTTTGGAATATATCTAATAAAGTACTTATACCACATATATGGCTAGGGATTTTTATGGTGCTTATAACGAAATTAGATATTTATTTTAATTTTTAAAGCAAATTGAAGAAAAATATGAGTCCCCAGGTAAAGTGAATGAGTAATTTTTTTTTTCAGTAGACTTCTATGCATGGTGTTTGTCTAACTTCAACCTAAGTTATCTTAGCCTGTGTTTGTTCTGACGGCAAATAAGCCATGATAACCTGAGCTTTTTTCCCATGGGTAGAACCATGATAAAATCTAAGTTGTGTCTTTGTACCACAGGACCCTTTAAATCACATTGATTACACACATGATTTCCATATTTACTTCCTAAAATGTTTCTCTCTTGACCCTTCAGTACTCTGTGTGAGATTATGAGCCACTGTTTTGTTCCTGTCATGCCCGTGCTGTGTCCTGGTTCACACCATTGTCTTGCCTGGTCTGTTGCAGAGGCTTTCTGGCCTCTGGGGGGGACCCCTGTATTGCATTTGCTCCAAAAGATGGTCTCTAGAATTCCTCTTTTAGTTTGCAATGGACAGGGTATTGGTTTTTGGGTGTGTGTGGGTTTTTTTTGTCAGCTTTGCACCCATTTCTCTTTCTTTTGAAAGCAGCCCTTGGATTTTCCGTTGAGGACCCAGCCCCGTTCAGGGAGTGGAGTTTGGGTAGGGCCGACCCCCCCCCCCCAAAATATGGACACTGTATTCCACTGGTCATAGCATTTACGTTGGTAATGGGTGATGTTGATTATGGAGAAAGCTGTAGCTACCAGACCTTTGATGGAACTATTGGGGAAGAAGCCTTCTGTTTGCACAGGGGAGCCTAAGCCCCTGATGTAAGTCTTAAGCTGTCGATGGCCATCTTTGCTACAGTGTGGAGAGAATCCCCATGAGAAAGAAGTCAAGAAGGGGAAGGTAGTCCTGAGAGATGGTATCATTTATTCTTTGGCACCAGCTGAGCCCGAAGCCAGATGCACCTCTTTACTTTCCAGTCGAGTGCACCAATACATTCTTTTTCGCTCAAGCCAGTTTGAATTGGGTTTCAGTCACTAGCAACCTCAAGCGTACTGGCTAATGCATGGCCAAATCGCTATTGTCCTTAAAAGGTACTCATGCTTTTTTGTTACATGCAGAATAAATCCAGCCTCTTTTTGGCTTCAAGGCTTTTTATGATCTTCCCCATTTTAGCCTTCGCTTCCCACTCTTCTGCCATACAGCTGACACTCCTGTGGTGGTGTTTTCGTTGGCATTTCCTCATGTACCTCGCGCTTTTACACCTCACTGCCTTTGTACCTCTCCTGCCCTCACCCATGTGGAATGCTTTTACCCGCATGGTGAGATCCTATGTATTCCTCAAAACCACACTCACATGTTACCTTCATTAGGAAGCCTTTCCTGGGCCCTGAGTCAGAATTAACTTGTGGCATCTTTGTATTTTCTTGACTCTGTATTTATACCTCTATTACAACACGTCCCAACCTGTCTTCGCTCTCTACTTGAGAGGTCAGCTTTACGTCCTCGCCCCTACTCCCAAGCCTGCAACGGAGCAGGCGCAGTAGATGAAGACGCTCCACCAGGGGTCTCCCGGACAGTCCGGTGTGAATGTGCCTGTCCCCTCCGCCAGATGGCGCTTTACTTATTTTTGTTTCCCCGGATCACCGAGGAGGGCTGAATGCCCGGCACACAGTGGACGCTGAATAAGGGTCTGTTAAACGGGGGACTTGGTCTCCCTTTGAAATGCTCTCACACTCTTCACAGTGATTTTCATAATATAGATCTGGGCTTCCACTCTTGGTGAAGGGCTGTAACGGCTGTTGGAGTGGACAGACTTCCCGGACGTGGTTCTTAGAGTTTCCATTTGGCCTGATGATTGCTGCTGAACTTGCCTCTTTGAATCAACTAGACGGTAGGAGGGAGAGAATGAGAAGAAAAAGTGGGAATGCCGCTTGACGCACCAGGGTTCAGTGGGCGCTCCGCTTCTCTCCTCCTCCTCCTCCTCTTCTAGAGCGAAATGCTGCTCTAGAAGGTCTCTTTCTAGATCCTCTGATGACTTCAGGTGTTCCTGTGCCCCTTCTCTCCTCTTCCTCCCTGCTGGGCTGCGTGAGCACGGCCCTAAGATCCACGAAACAGCAAGCTTACGTTTAAGAAGTGGGATATCTGCATCAATATGTAAAACACGCGCGGCATGAGTTATGCCTTTGTATTTATAGGGACGCGTCCAACTTTTTGGTCTGCAGGTTCCCTGACAAGGCTGAAAGTAGCAGGCTTTATACACATGGATTATTCTTAGATTAGTGGCCGCCACTGCTGTTTACAGATCCTGGCAACGTTTAGGACTCTGCTATTTTTAGATTCAACTAACATTGCCAAGGGGACACTCTGTGCCCTGCACTGTGCTAAGTTCTTACATGAATTCATTTGTCTTTTTTAATCTTTGGAACAACTCTGAAATGTGTTAGCTATCTATTGCCACATGAGAAATGACTCAAACTTGGTGGCTTAAAACCATAACATTATTATCTTACGGTATCCGTGGATCAGGAATCCAGGCACAGTTTAGCTGGGTCCTCTGGCTCTGGGTCTCTCACAGGCTTGACTTGAAAAGACCTCTTGCCCAGCTCATTTATGTGGTTGCTGGCAGAATTCACTTCATCTCTCCCTGTGGGCCAGAGGCCTCCCTGGGTTCCTTGCCACACAGACCTCTCTAGAGAGAGGTTCACGACATGGCAGGCGGCTTCATTGAGCTGAACAGGTGGGAAAGAGCGAGCTAGAGAATGCTAGTAAGGTGAAACTCACAGGCTTTTGCAACCTCATCTTGAAAGTGACGTCGCATCATCTTTGCTGTATTTTATTTGTTAGAGGCAAGTTGCTAGGCCCAGTTCGTACTCAAGGGGAGGGAATCACACAAGGGTGTGACACCAGGAGTCAGAGATCACTGGGGACCATATTGGAGGTCTACCTATGACAGAGATAGTTTAAAGCCCATTTTACAGATGAGAAAATTGAGATGCCATTAGAAAAACAGAGATGATTGATGATGTATGTATATGTATTGATGAAAATTCATGTCTCTGAGCTGTATTTCTCAAGCGTAGGTTGGTACATGTTTTCAGCCTCCTTGGAGGTTTGACTTTCCCTACCAACCCATAGAATCTGCCCCTGTGTCTTCTAGAACATTGCTATGCGAAGTGTGGTTCAGGGACCAGCAGCACTGGCTTTGCCTGGGAGCTTGTTGGAAATGCAGAACCTCAAGCCTTGTCCCAGACCTATGGAATGAGCATCTGCATGCCTGGTGATCTGCGTGCACATTAAAGTCGGAGAAATGCTGCTCCAGAAGGTCCCTTTTCTAGGTTGTCTGATGACCGCAGGTGTTCCCACGCTCCTCTGTCTGCTGGCACTGCTCGTTGCTTGCCCTTCAGCAGTAGTGGGGAATATGACCATGTATCGCTGCATGAATTTGAAAACCAGAGGAAATGAAGCCCCTGAAATGAAGGCTTCTTGTCACCTACTGTCTTGTGTAACCAACAAGGGAAGAGGAACAAAGGGTCTCTCTCCGCAATCTTAGGTAGAACAGGAACCCCTGGCCTGCATTGTGACAGATGGCAGACAAACGTGAAAGTTGACATTTGGCTCTGGAATGAACTAGAGCAAATTGGTCCAGCAAGTGAGCCTTCCTAAATTACTTTATTTAGGCAACCTAGATGAATCTGCAAAGCATTATGCTATGTGAGAGTAGGCTGGCACGAAAGACCACATATGGCATGGTTCCGTTTCTATGCAGTTCTAGAAAAGCCAAGACTATAGTGACCCAAAGCATTTTGGTGGAGACAAGGCAGAAACTTACTACACAGAGGCCTGAGGGAGCTTTCTGGAGATGGGACCAGACTGCATCTTGACTGTGGTGGTAGATACATGGGTGTGTATACATTTGTTAAACTCATCACAATGTACATTTAAATGGCTGAATTTTATTTTATATAAATTAACTTTCCATAAAGTTGATGGGGGGGGAAAGGTAAGTAGGAGTTAGTAGCCTTCAGGTCGTGGTCCCAGGGTCCTGGGATCGAGCCCACATTGGCTCTGTATTCCTTGCTGTGCCCCTGTCCCCCATTATATCCTCCCAATCAGGTGACCAGTGCATTATGAACCCAGCCAGACCCAGAGGCCGGTTCCCAGAAGGAAAAAGTCCTGCTGAAGCAGCAGACAGGGAGATTTGATTTATACTAATGAGCGCATGGGTAGGAAAAAACCTGACACTCCTGAGAAGTGAAAATGAGGCGGTTTGCACCTCCAAGGGGGATGTCACGTGTGAGCTAGAGAGTTCAGTGTGGGCACATGGGCTGTGGAAGATTTGTAGAGCTGAGAAGAGCTGGACCCAGCAAGGCATCCCTTACCGACTAAATAGACAGCATCCCGAGAGGTCTCCCTTCTCTAAGAGCATTGTCATCTTGGGAGACAGATCAGGCCCGCCTTAGTGTACAAAAGATCACAATCAGGTGGGGTTGGGTAAGGCAGGAAACCTTACTGTAGTCGTTTATATGCCAGAAGGTTCTGACAACAGCTCGGATGTCACATGATAATTATTGACTTCACATGATTTTTTTTTTTCCCCTTTGAGAAAATTTTCTGAGCTTTTAGTGAGGTTTGATATAAGCGAAAGGATAGGATTATCATGCAGATTGCATTGTTTTTTCAAAATTAAAAGAGTATTTTTTTTCTGTTTTTTAAAAAACTCAAATAATATAAAGTCCTATTTCCCAAGGCTCAAGAGAAAAAAAAACAAAAAAAATGTGAAGTCAAAAAAAATCACGATTGACAGTTTGGTGTGAATATATTCTCCCAGCCTTTTAATGTTGCTACAAACCTACATTTTTATTTGACTAGGACTGTACCGTAATACTGGCCTATAACCACCTTTTTTCACTCCTCAATAGGTCCTAGATCTACATGGGTCGATACATTTTCATCTTTCTTATCTTTTCAGGGGCTTCACTGTAGTCCATTGTATGAATATGACTATATTAACCAATCCCCTGTTTTAGGCTGTTTCCAATTTGGGGTTGTACTACAGAAAACTCTGGTAACTGGTTCTGCCTAGAACTCTTTGCACACTTGTCCAATAATCTCTAAGGGATAAATTCTTGGATGTGGACTTGATGGATTGGAGAACAGGTATCTTCTTAATTTGGTAAAATTTGACAAAATGCCATGCATAAATTTATCAGCTTGTTCTGCTTTCAACAGTGTGATAGAGCGTTCTTTCTCCCAAATTATCACTAACTCTGGGCTTTGCAGATCTTGGCTAATCTGATGGTGAAAAGAAACTTATCTTAATTTGCATTTGTTTAATCAGCAGTGATTTTGGGTCCACTGTCAAATGCTTATCAGCCACATGCATTTTTTTTGGTGAATTCGATATTTTTCTGATAAGGTATTTATTTTTTACTTATTGAATTATTAGAGCTTTTTATATATTAAGTATACTAGCACTTTGTCACATATTTTGCATGCAATGAAATCTTTCTGGTAACAGCAGAAAATATCCAACAGTTTACTTACATAAACTCTGTCCCCCCCCCGAAAAAAGAAACCCCCCACAAAACTGATGATTGTTGACGCTCTATTAGTGTCCTGGGGATGTCATAACAAAATATCACCAACTGGATGACTCCAAACAGAAGTCTATTCTCTCGCGGTTCTAGAGGCTAGAAATCTGACGTCCAGGTGTTGGCAGGGCCGTGCTCCCTCGGAAGCTTCTAGGGGAGGGCCCTTCCTTGCCTTCCTTGCCTCTTCCAGCTTCTGGTAGCCCATGTGTTCCTGACATTAGACACTATAATCTCTACCTCTGTGACCTTCTCTCTCAACTGTACCAGTCCTGTTGGGTCAGGGCCCACCGTCATGCCCTCATCTTAACTTTATTACACCGGTAGAACCTATTTCCAAAAAACCTTGCATTCACAGATACCGGGATTAGGACTTCATATCTTTTTGGGGGACACATTTCAACCCAGAAGAGACACCCGTTATGAAGTGTCTGCTATTCCCAGCAAGCTATAGACTCTGTAAGGACTGAGGCTGGGTCAGTTTTGCTCTATATTCTAATCCCTGGTCCTCAGTACAGAGTCCAGCAGGTTGTGGGAACTCCACAGGTTTCTTAAAGAATTTGACTTTCAGGAATCTCTGGCCTTTCAGAAATTAAAAGATGTGTACAGAGAACACAAGATGGCCTTTCAGAAATTAAAAGATGTGTACAGAGAACACAAGATGTCAATTCTTTCATTTGAATTTACATTTAACAATTAAGATGCAAATACAAGTGGGAGACCTGGACTATCCAGAAGAAGGAATGTCTCAACTTTCTGAATGAGTATGTTTTCTTTTTTTTTTTTTTATTATTATGTTATGTTAATCACTATACATCATTAGTTTTAGATGTAGTGTTCCATGATTCATTGTTTGTGCATAACACCCAGTGCTCCATGCCGAACGTGCCCTCCTCAATACCCATCACCAGGCTAACCTATCCCCCCACCCCCCTCCCCTCTAGAACCCTCAGTTTGTTTTTCAGAGTCCATCGTCTCTCATGGTTCGTCTACCCCTCCAATTTCCCCCCCTTCATTCTTCCCCTCCTGCTATCTTCTTTTTTTTTTTTCCTTAACATATATTGCATTATTTGTTTCAGAGGTACAGATCTGAGATTCAACACTCTTGCACAATTCACAGCGCTTACCAGAGCACATACCCTCCCCAGTGTCTATCACCCAGTCACCCCATCCTTCCCACACCACCCCCCACTCCAGCAACCCTCAGTTTGTTCCCTGAGATTAAGAATTCCTCATATCAGTGAGGTCATATGATACATGTCTTTCTCTGTTTGACTTATTTCGCTCAGCATAATACCCTCCAGTTTCATCCACGTCATTGCAAATGGCAAGATCTCATTCCTTTTGATGGCTGCATAATATTCCATTGTGTGTGTGTGTGTGTGTGTGTGTGTATACACCACATCTTATTTATCCATTCATCTGTCAATGGACATCTTGGCTCTTTCCACAGTTTGGCTATTGTGGGCATTGCTACTATAAACATCGGGGTGCACGTACCCCTTCGGATCCCTACATTTGTATCTTTGGGGTAAATACCCAGTAGTGCAATTGCTGGGTTGTATGGTAGCTCTATTTTCAACTTTTTGAAGAACCTCCATACTGTTTTCCAGAATGGCTGCACCAGCTTGCATTCCCACCAACAGTGTAGGAAGGTTCCCCTTTCTCTGCATCCCTGCCAACATCTGTCATTTCCTGACTTGTTAATTTTAGCCACCGAAGGAGTATGTTTGCCAAGGAGTGTGCTTTAGGTTCGCCTAGCACCTGTCTTAAAAATGAGTCTTTGCACATATGCAGACAAGTACATAGACTAGAACCACATTTATTGACCAGAATTATTAGGTTGGGTTAAACAGAAATAAGACAGCAGAACACTTAAAATCCCTCCATTTTTTTCTTTGTATCATAAAACACAATTGACAATTTATTTCATAACCATGGCAAATAGAGCCTAGTTTACCAAATGCCAGAATTTGCTCCAGAAATTTACTTTCTAAATTATTTTTTGGCTCATTTCCAAAAATAATTTCCATTTACAGAGGACTCACAGCCTCCAAGTTATCCTGCAGAATTCCTATATCTAATCTTTCTTTAAAAAAAAATTCATCTCCTATAAAATATATACTTGTTACTTTTTTAAAAGTTAAGCATTTTCTCTAGGGATTTCTATATTTTATCTATAATGTCTCCACTCCCTCACACTTTCACCAAAGCTAGTCAAATACAGTCATTTGGGGCTAGGCCTTGAACACCTGCTTTGCTCTACTTTGAGCGGCCATGGTTCTAGTCCAAAAACAATGGGCCAGTGTTTTAAGTCCTAATGTATGGCCACAGAGATGAGGTATTTTAATTAGAACAGAAATAACATTTTGATCTGGGCACTTTATCTGAACTCATGCATAGTCCAAATGTAAAACTGAGCACCAAAGCCATTATTCAGATACATACATTTCCAGCTTCATGGGTTTGTGACCTATGTAGTCCTGTGCTTGGTTTCATGTTCTGCTGTTGCCATCTTGAGTTTCTTAATAATTTTTGAATGGCAAGCCCCCACATTTCCATTTTGCATTGGACTCTGCAAATTATGAGCTGGTCCTGGACACACACAAAATCTGCTTTGACCTGAATCATCTGACTTGTAATCTCTGTTTTCATCTGGCAGTGAAGATTGAGTTGTGGGTAGTTCCCCGAAATCTCCTCCCAGGAGGAGATGACCCTGGTTCTAGAACGTTTTCAAAGATCTAAAAGTTGTGGGTCATGTGATTCCCTGGGAGTAATGAAGGAAGGAAACACACAAAGGTGATTTTTATCGGCAAATCTGAAGAGTTAATGTTCTACCTTCAGTGAAATATGGAGGAATGAAGCCCAATGTGATGTGTACCAGCCTAAGAACCTGTTCGTTTGAAGAGAAAATAGGTATGCCCATGTGCCAATAAGCTAAATATAAATACATTCCTCTGTAATTCTTCTATCAAAGATGATGATTTCAGCAATTCAAATCTGTGCAAGGCCACGCTCCACTGCTCTTTATAAGAATAATGAATACATCCTCTTCTGAATTAGAAAGCATCATTCTTCCTATTCTTCTTCAAAAGAATGGTGGGGAATAGTTGTTGTAAAAATGCCATAAAACATCTACCTTCCATTAGGACAGAGGATTAAACATTTCATTACAGGGCATGGTCCTTTCTACAGGAGGATAGAGTGTGATTTTAAAAGGACAAGTTGTCAAGGAAGAGTTCTTTCTAGACCCCTTACGAGCCGGGGGAAAGGCTCAGCAGGCAAGGAAGCAGAGTTACCTATACCTTCAAAGGGCTTTTGCATATACAAAATGAAGGGTTTGGGCTACACCGAAGTCAAACAGGTATCTATTTAGAAAAATTTTAAATTAAATATCTATTTATATCTGATTGTGTTTAAACGTAGACACTGTTAACAGAGTTATTTCTAGGTAAAGTAGTAACTATACGTAATTTTAAAATACTTTATAAATAATGTAACGATCTTTCTCTACGGTTAAACAACGCTTCCAATAAATAGCAGAATATTTAGGAGATGAAAATAGTTTTTAAAGAAGACATTTCAATTTCTAGGAAATCTGAAGAATATGTCAGAGTTTCAAAGTCCTTTAAACTGAGAGATGGCCAGGGCACGTAGTGTTCTTCCTAACTTGAAGTACTGTTTAGATCTCAAAGACCTTCTTCCATTGAAAAAGAAAGAAAAAACTGCTTAGGCTAAAATTTAAAATTAAGGCATTTGGAAACAAATCCATATTTCCTAGAATGTCCTCTTTAATAATACAGTTAAAAAAAAAAAAACTCCACCAAACATTTTTACAAATAAGTACCTAAAATTCCAGTAACCCTAGAGGAGAAATTGTTTTTCAACTGCTGTTTGAATTCTAGGGTCGATGTGTTCTTGAGGATTTCACAACTTGGGTAAAAAGTTGTGGGAGGGTTAGCCATTAAGGAAGAAGGGAGGCAGGGAGGAAGATAAAAAGGTAAAAGAAAAAAAGAGTCCCTTTAGTTTCCTCCTGTTTCCACGGTAGAAAAGGCTGGGGTAACTGTACTTGACAATTTACTCTTGGGCAGAGTTGAGACTAATGGTCTCATCTCTGCTATTCCTCTTTGTAATCCTGCAGCCAGACCAGCAGGGAAGGGTCAGGGCACAAAGGTTCAGGTTTTCCAGTGTGTGTTTGTACGTCTTGGTTGTATACTGTAAAAGACCCTAATTACAAAAGACAATGGAAAGGCTAAGTCTCCTTCCTTTGCTTTTAGCAAATCGCTAACCTCTCCAGACATGGAGGGGGATGTTTGGAAGTGTCTTTCCGGGAATGAGAGAAAGGTTACGGTGATGACATCTTTTTCTCTCAAGGGCTTGAGGAACCCAAGAATAACCAAAATTGAGAGTAAACCCAGATGAAAAGAGATGTCACCAATTATTCTCAAGAAGCACTCAATAATAAGATAGTCAAATCAGCAGGCACAATGAGGAAGTAATGTGTTCAAACTAAGAATGTTCTCCAACATCACCGAGGCGAATGAGAAAAAAAGAAACCTGCGCATAAGCCTAAAACCGAATGTGGCTTAATCTGACATGCCAGTGTTTTCTTCCAGTGAAGAGTTCAGCCAGGAACAGGGCTGTCTTTCTGAGGTGCCAGCCTTCATGATGTCCTGTGACATTTTAGATCCGAGTTCGATGACAGACATGCTGACTTAGAGCTTTAGGACACGAACTAGTTTTGCATTCTAGCCCGGAGAATTAGGCTGAATGTTTCTCTCCTTGTTTGATGCCCAGAACAAGATGCAGGAACCAGTTAAACTGCACCGTCCATCCTTTGTCCCTGCAAACTTCGATCTGATCAAGGAAATACTTCTTAGCTTCCTCCTCATTCTTCCCCACTGTTAGGGCATCCCGAATATATTCGATATCTTCTTTGCTTGTTAACTGGGGCATTCCCGTCATCAGCATCATGGAGAACAGGATGATCAGCAGGTTTGTGTGGTGACGAAGGGCTAGGTAAGCCTTGACGCAGACGTCCTGCATAAAGGAAAACGAAGTGCTGTTACCATTGTTGCATTAACTAAGTGGGCTGAAGACCATGGGGCTGTCCTGAAATTTACATGGCGTTATCCTGTCCTCGTGGGTGGAAGCTGTCACCAACAGGGCAGGTCGCCGGCCTCAGATGGAAGCCTTGATGAGAACGTAAGACTGTGTTTATACTCTCTGGAGCACATTACTGTCGTCACCTACGTCCAGGCTGGGCTCAAGGAGAACTAATTGATACTCTATGTTTCATCTTTTTTCTTACTCGACCTTTTACGTCCATTTCTTTCCTAGGAAATTGAGGGTGGAAATTTCTGTAGTCTCTAAAAAGGGATGGGTCAGTTTTTGAACACCATACTGGAAGCAATAAACTTTATGTAAGTGTAAGTGTTTGCCAAGGGCTAATGGAATCCAGAGAAACGATGGAAATGTGGTGTTGGAGATTTTGTTTTCATCTTTATTTTACAATTTGTCCTATTCTAAGAAAACAGATGTATTAGCGTTTTGCTGACACACAAAACTGTTGAATAAACTTGGGAATTTTAATATAAATTCTGAATACTGAGTGAGACAGAGAGCTTTAAGCAAATGCTTTGGCTGGTGCCTCTTCCAAAAGCCTTTGAGCAGATGATACAGGTGAGTAAGTCCACTTAGGAAGCAAGGCATGCTTATGCTAATTAAATGGTCCCAAAGCATAGAAGAAATTTCAAGGTTCACAATTTTACAGCATGAGAACAACCCAACCCTAATATCGTAACTTGGCAAAGATTGCGTGTTAAAGAAAACTGAAGTTAATGATTACAGATATAGGGGTGCCTGGGTGGCTCAGATGGTTAAGGGTCTGTCCTTCGGCTCAGGTCATGATCCCAGGGTCCTGGGATCAAGTCCTGCATCGGGCTCCCTGCTCGGTGGGAAGCCTGCTTCTCCCTCTCCTACTGCTCCCTCTGCTTATGCTCTCTTTCTCTCTCTGTCAAATAAATAAATAAAATCTTTAAAAAAATGATTACAGATATAAATATTTCAAATAAAATACGGAGTAAAATACTAAGAGAATAATACACTATCACCAGAGTTTATTCCAAAATTGCAAGGACAGATCATCATAAGGTACTGTATGAAAACCCACTTCTGATTATTTTTTTTAAGATTTTATTTTTAAGTAATCTTTATACCCAGCATGGGGCTCAAACTCACAGCCCCAAGATCGAGAATTGTATGCTCTACTGACTTGAGCCAGCCAGGTGCCTCCGCTTCTGATTTCTTAAAATTAACATGTTACTTAATATGTAACTAAAATGTAAAAGGTAAAATTGTTAGTATTTATTTATTTTAAAGATTTTATTTATTTATTTGACAGAGAGAGGGGGAGAGCAAAAGTAGGCAAAGCAGCAAGCAGAGGGTGAGGGAGAAGCAGGCTCCCTGCTGAGCAGGGAGCCCGATGCAGGGCTCAATCCCAGGATCCTGGGATCATGACCTGAGCCGAAGGCAGATGATTAACTGACTGAGCCACCCAGGCGCCCTGATTGTTAGTATTTACAAATAACTTCACTGTCTCCTGGAACACCGAGGGGAAAAAACAAAAATATGATAGTAACTAGTTTTCATTAAACTAGCTTTTTATAAAATTAATACATAGGATGCTATAAATCAGAGCCACCAGTTAGAACGTATAGTGAAAAGACAGATGCTGTGAATAATGGCAACAAAACACCCCATGATTCCTGGGATAAATACATACACAAACCCTGCAGAGCCCGTTTTTTAAACATGTAAAAATTTACTGAGAAATGTAAGTGAAAACTTGAACATGTGGAGTGATATAGCATGATCCTTGGAGAGAAGACTATTATAAAGATGCAAATTCTTCTTAAGTTCATCTATGATGAAATTTCAACAAAAATTCCTATTGGATATTTAAACCCAGATATGGTTTTAAGTATGTCTGGAATCATTAGGGCCCGAGAGAACATTTTGAACAAGGACAGTAATGAAAAACAGTGCTTGGCATGTGAGATACTAAAACATATTATAAAACTACATACAGTATTTGAAACTGTGGGAAACAGTACCTACTCTTACCGCCCCCCCCCAAAAAAGATAACACATTTTGTAGATGAGAATGGAAAGTTCAGCACACGGATCTGACTACATGCCACATGTAGGGTATAACAACGGTGACTTCTCCAATTAGGAGAAGATCTGTTATTGGATAAATGGGGTTGGTACAATCAGCTCATCATTTGGGGGACAAATAAAGCTTACCCTGTGTAATACGTGAAAATAAATTCCCGATGCTTTAAAGATTAAATACGCTACCTTTCATCTTTTGTCTTACTCTGCCTTTACGTCAATTTCTTTCCTAGGAAATTGGCAAACATTTAAATAATCGTAGAGTGGGAAAGGCCTTTATGAAGATCACTTTCCAAGGTGCAAGCTATAAGGCAAAGGTGGAGAGATTATGGAAACATTACTGAGGGGGAAGAAATAGCTATAAACAACAATAGAAGAGATAAACAGCAAGAGAAAACATTTGCAACACGACAAATCACTCTTCCATTACCGGCCCTCAATAGCTCTTACAAATCAGTAAGAAAGAGTGGATAAATAGTTGGCTAGACCTATAAGCCAAGGATATAAATGCGAATTCACACTATAAGACATAAAAACAGAGAATAAACATGAAAAAATACATTACCTCATTAGTAAACAAATAAATGTAACGAAACGAGATGGAAACATTCACCTACCAAATTGGAAAATCTTAATTTTTTTTTTTAAAAGAATAATATCCAATGCTCACTTTTCATGGGCTGACAGAAGGTGGGAATAGGTATAATTTTACTAGTGGACAATTTGATAACATGCATCAAAAACTTTAAGTTACTAATAAGTGTTCTAGAACTTCATTGCGTGACCAATGCCTTTCATCAAAACTCAAGGAAATGTACACGCAAAAAGGCCCAGTTCTGCTGTAGGTGAATTATGCCTCAATAAACTGGATTTTAAAAATGTCTATATCCTTTTACCCGGCAATTTCCATGCTAGAAATTCACCTTTTAAAAAAATTGGGTCATTTTTGCAGTACTTGGTCTACAAGAATATTCAGCAGAACGTTGTTTAAAAATGCAGGACCTTGAAGGTAACCTGGATATCCTACAAGTTGGGGTTGATAAAAAGGATTAATGAGAGTCCCTCCAGCCAAGTGCTTTCTAACTGCTGGAGTGAGATTGGACAGGAATATGGAATGACTGTGTAACTGTCTGAGTTAAAAAGTGGGCATCAAACAACACATGTAGCGTAAGCCCATGTTGGTAAACGAACACAAAATATTTATAGAGAAAAAAGACTATAAGGTTAACAGGCCAAATGTTGAGGTAGTGAGTTTCCTTTTTGCTTTTGGATAATCTTGTCTGTATCAGTTGCACGTGGCCGGCTGAGAGTCGCAGTAATGGTGGTTATGCCTGTGTTATTCTGTACGGCAAGGCTGGACCATGGACGCATCACCCTGTGCAAGTAGAAAAGCCCATGGACTATTCTGACATTAAGCGAGACAATATATATAAAATGCCTGGCCCTGGGGCCGGCACATGGTGAGCGTTCAATAAGAGATCGTATCTCCTTTCCCTGCCTGGAGGGGAGATCGCTCTGTATCTCCTCTCTGCCTACTTGCCCTGGAGCTGGAGACTTCCAGACCCAAAAGCCTGGGCTGTTCCTGCCGTGGCCCCAGTGCATTCGGGCTCTTACATCCTTAATGACTCCACTTATGGCCGGAAATCATTACCTTTTGCTCATCCAGAGGACCCACCAAAGTCACTCTCATTTCTTGGTAATTACACAAGGGCAGACCTCACCGTGGGGCAACTGGCTCATTAATTGGTCAGCTCACACGATTCTCACAAGGGCATAGATGGAGATGCCTTTTGATTTTGAATTAGAGTGCATTCTGATTTCTGATTATTTTCTAGCCTTCTGTGCACTGGGGGCTCCAGGCACACCCCTTGCTGTCTGAGCTCACTGTGTGGTCAAACTCTTTAATAGAAAATTTTTGAGAAGGAAAATGAATCTGGGGCCAAGGTATTTTAATACCAATCCGTAGGTGCTCAGTGTATATTTTTAAGTGGAACCCATGGATTCACTCATCACTGTAGCACACGGAAATGTATTAAAGGAAAAGAACTGTCCTGTGTCTCTGTCTCTCTCCCTCTCTCAGGACATCTCATCTACCTAAGGCTTGAGGTTATTCAGTTCTGATTTTCACTGTGTGTGAAGGGTCATGTCTGTGAGGAAGAAATTTCATCCTCAAATTGCACACCCCATACCAGTCAGGCACAATGTGTAAATTCCGACTGGCAGCGCAGACTTGGAGCCTTCATTAGAGATGTAATTCTCTTTGGCTCAGCGACAGTACGGAGTCGGGGTGAGAAGTGCAGTCACACTTCGCTGCCTGCATTCAGCTCTTGGCTTTATTACGGACAAGCTGCTTGTCATCGGAGAAATCACTTAACCTCTCTGGAGCTCAGTTTCCTCATCTGTAGAATAAGAAGAAGAATAAGACCCGTTTCATAGGGTGGTGGTGAGATTCAAGTGCCGTGTGAGTGGTTGGCAATGATTATTAATAGAATGCAAAGTTGCATTATTGAACACACACGTCTCGATGCGGAGGTGGGGAGCAAGTTGGAAGCGGATAGTGGCCTGGCTGCATCTGCAGGTGGTTCTCCGCCCCCTCAAGCCCCAGAAGTTTCATTTCTGCCCTTGGTACTCAGCCACAGGGTGTATGTGAGAGCACCCTGGCTATGCTGCGTTGGGCCGGAGGCCTGTGGTTTGAGGGACTGAGGATGTGGCTTGGGGAGCTCAGGGGGAATCACAGAACACAGAAGTGACTGGCTGGAGCAGCAGAATTTTCCCTTCTGCCAGGACTGCCTGGCACTGACCTCAAACATCCTCTTCCTCTCCTTCTCAGCTGCCTGGGGAAGGCTGTATGATATGGAGTGGAG